CTGCTCCCGTGCACCGCACTCGACGAATGCATGCGCGCATGGTACATAGCCTTTTAGTCACTTTTATTACATGTAAAATATGTATTTGTTGGAAAACTGGATATTATTATTATATAGCAGATAAATAGTAATATTATAAAACATTTAGCTATTTTGCTTAATAATAAATACCAGCTTTATATTTCCGTGCTATTGGCTAATATTTGGACGCAAGGAATTGGTTAAAACAATATAATCTGCTAACATACTCACAGTTTGCAAAATGGTGGGCCCTACGTGCAAGCGATGCGAGGCGAAGATTGACCCGCTTCTGCTGAACCCGCAGCGGTCTACGACGGATTCCCGGGCGCGCTGCGTCTGCTGCGGGAAGCTGCAGTACGGCTACGCATTCCGTACAATTTTCGGGAGGGGCATCGTGCGGCGCTGTATTGTCTGCGAGAACGGCCCAAAAGCGGTTGAGCTCTCGGAGGAAAATGCACCACCACCTGATTCGGCCGAAGTGCACCGCCAGGAAAGCCTGTCAAACGTCTAGAAGGCAATGGGTCCTGACCGGTACCTCAAGAAAAAAAGAGGCGCAGCCGCCCTCGCAAGCTGACCGCCAGTAACGCCAGGTACATCGAGCAATAGAAGCAGTAGAAGAGAAAGTAATTGGAAAAATACGCCCTTTTAGGTCCCCATTTTCCTACCTATTTTTGTATTTAGTATACTGGCTGACGGTGCGAGGTTTGGAGCCGCACATACGGTAAGCTGCCTATGGCGCAGTCGGTAGTGCTGACACACCTAAATAGCGTAGCGCGTATCAAATAATATTTAGCACATTGTATCGACTGTGGACAGCCGCATGCTGGCCGATCCTATCCGCATACACGTCACGTAGACGACAAGTGCACTGACTCATTTGGACATAAGCTAAATCATGCTGTATGTACCATCAACGTTTACATCGTGTATTCCGTGAATGTGCGCTCACAAATTGAAACTACAGTATTAAGTGAGTACTACACGTTACGATACGTTGCTGTCTACGTAGACACGAACACGTGTGCGGTAATGCAGACCATACAAGTGTCTGTCGCAAGTCGATGTATCTGTACGCAGTACAGTACTTTAGTGCCCTATTTATAATGGTCGAGATAAGAGCTTGGTTGATTCGCTGGTGGCTATAAGGTGTTCCCACCGCGCTTATATATATGCGTTGACTACAGCTAACAGACGTGCGGTTAGCATGCATGTATCCCTGCGGTATGACCTGTTTATAGTACGTAATGCGCTTGGTCATAATGACTCATACATCAGAAGCGTAAGCGCAATAAGCTACCATCACGATGCAAAAGTACCGTGAAAGCAACAACGACCACAGGTATATGTTTTGGTTATCACGAGCACGTGGCACATACACCTTGCGAGATATGCACGGACACATCAAATAGCACGCCGAGCCGATAAGTAGGCAGCAAAAGTACTTCATTGAATGTAGCTTTGCAAATAAGTCGGTAAGTAAGTAAATGGCGTTCATCCTGTCATACCAGTGTTAGAAGATGGATTTGCTATTAATGTCAATTCGATTAGTTAGACCAAGCTAGCGAACATCAAGTACACTCCCTTCAGTAGTGTCTGGTATTAATAAGAGCTCAGCGAGCCATATGGAGGGGAGGAATTGGTCATTTGGGTGACCATTGGCAGATACTAGCGGTTATAACCCATACTATGCATGCGGAGATGATCAAACCTTGGTCTAGCTGACCGTCGCAAGCAGCAATATGGTCACGAATACCACTCGGCTAGGCAAAATATGCCTGTCGTCCAGTAAACCCTATGGCATGGGATCTCAATACGCGTTGATAGGCGTGTTACTATCGCTAAACTTATCTGGAATCTCCTCACCGAATGATGTTGAGATTGGATGCACAAATGATGATGACCCATATTCTGAATAACAGAGTGTGACTTTGCAACGAAGCGCACCTCAGCGTGGTGCCATTTGAGGGGCGAAGCGCTCAACCAAGAATTAAGACAACATCCTCCAGGGTAAGATGGTGTTCATCTTGCAGATCACGTTAAGCCCTGGAGGCAACGACAAATTGTTCCTTTTTGCAATGATTTACAGTCATTTCTACCTTTGCCATGATGATCAATATTATTCAGCCGAGCTAGATCTATAACACGTCTATCCATCTGTAACAGCCAGTTGTCAGATATACATAGCTATATGTGACGTTGTCAGAACTGACTTCAAGAAATGCAAGAGATAGACGGAGAGGCGGTTGGTGAGGCAGAACATGTGAGCACTAATAAAAGTGTGTACAGTTGCTTTTTAAAGCAAATGCACTAGAACACAGAATTCATATTATATGTAGCTTGCTTTGAGTAAGGAATCTAAGCCCACCGCAGCGCAGCGGAGGTGGTAAGCGCACACTACACCAACCAACCATGTCCGCGGAGCGGGCGCCCAGAGCGCTAGTCTTAAACATCTACTGTAGCAACCTGTCTGTCCGTCACACTAAATTGTCGTGCCTGTCACGCTTTTTCGGACAAATCATTGGATAAAATAATTTAAATATTTCTACTGGCTGCCGAGCGCAGCGAAGGTGGCCCCGATTGGCCTAAAGGCTGCCGAGCGCAGCGAGCGGAACGGAGGCAAAACACAAGGAACGACATTCATTCTTTCCGGCGCGTAGCGGCGCACTCGGCTAGTCAAAGGGGTGCAATACTGTATGAGGAAGC